ATTAAGGGAAAACCCCGACCAATCAGAGCGCGAGTATGTCAGTGGTGTGTAGGCTACGCGCTAGGCGGCTGCGCTCATAGGCTACCGCGGCCGCTCCAACGGTATACGCGCGCTCTGATTGGTCGGGGTTTTCGCTTAATATCTCCGCAACGAAGCCTCGGACAACATATTCGCTAAGGAAAAACTTGTTTCAAATCACCTCCCAAATCACCCCTTTCAAGGTATTATAACATTTTGGTGACATCCTGTATAGTACTCCACTTATAGTATCAAAGTATCAAATATTAAAGCAAAATCGCAAGATTAATATTTTTCCCAGACGTTCTTAAAGACATTCCTTTTAAAGTACACATTTTATAGAAGAATCCTCGATGAATATGATATATATCAGGTTGCCCCAAAAGTTTCTATCCTTTTTTTTTATTAATAAGTAGATTGCGGATCTTTATGCATTTATAGGAAAATTATAGATCTTTGTCTTTATGCATTTATAGAAAATTTGAATGTGCAAGAAACTACAAAATGCAAATATGCAAGAATACAAAAAAGACTGAAAGTAAAGTTCATATTATAATATTTGCAAAATAAAATAAATTCGTATTTAGGTTCGATGTTTGAAGGAACATTCCCGAAGATTTTATTTTGCATAAAGATCCGCAGTCTACTAATAAGTAATACATACGCAATACTTTATCTTTCATGTTACGTTACTAAATTGTTTACGATCTATTTTCCTCTATTACTGTTACTACATCAACTACTTATATACACTAAAATAACAATGCAAATCGCGAAAGAAGCCTTTGCGACAACCTAATATTCCATAATAAGCCTAGATCTAAGATCTACTTATAATGTACTCCAGCCAGTTTCTTCACAAGAATTCTACACCCCATGAATTACAGGCAGATCAAATCTGCTACTCGGTACTCTGTGTGTTCTCCTACTTGGCCGCTGGATTGGAGCAACGGAAACAAATACCGAACCAGCAATCGCGACACCAGCAACAATCCCAGCAGCAATCGCAACAACAACAGCAACATCATCAACCACAACAGCAACAGCAACAACAGCAGCAACATCATCAACCGCAACAGCAACAACGTCAACAACCGCAACAGAAACAGTTCCAGCAACACCAGCAACCACAACAACACCAACAGTACCAGCAACGCCAGCAACACCAACAACCACAGCAACGTTCTCAATACCCGACGCAGCCACCGCGTCAGCCGCACCAGCAACCGCAGCAACATCAACACCAACATCAGCAACCGCAAGCTCAGCAACATCAACACCAACATCAGCAACCGCAAGCTCAGCAACAATTTCAACAGCATTCAGGTAGCAAGGTGGCCCACCCACCTCAGGGCCACAAAACAAACCAATTCGATCCCTTTCCACGACATCACTGACACAGAGGTCGACACTCGCTCCCATTTGTGCATAATTACAATAAATGTGCCCCTTACGCTTGCCTACCCTGGGTGTAAGCATCGTTCCTAACTCTCTATCGCGAAACGAAGCCGGAAAATAATAGCCCGGCTACGTTTCGAATTCGCTCGTGAAACGGGAGCTGTTGCATGCGCAACCATGGCAATATCATCCTCACGTACTATTCCAGAGAGTCAGCTCTAAATCTCTTCTAAATGTCGAAAATCTATTCGCGCTCTGTTAGGAAGTAGTCATCGTACATATTCCGAAGTCGAGCTAAGGGCTGGGATTCGTTAAAAAGGGGTGATTCGCGAGCTGAGGGAAACGCAGAGTGGGGCGTAACCAGAGTTGAAGAATATTTTTTTTAACCGACTTCGAAAAGGAGGAGGTTACTCAATTCGAAACGTGTATATATATATATTTTGTTATCTAATTGCTACTTGAATCGCAGTAGAACTTTGTTTATGTGGAGCTCGCTTGTACGAGCAAAATTATGCTTACAAGGAACATCATTCGTCTGTTACACGCTGATTTTGATGAAACTCGGGATGCAGATAAAGCGTTGAGAAATATTGGACACAGAAATGTCTATTTTATTGAAGTTTTAAAAAACTACCAGAGATAGGAAGAGTACCTTATAGCCCCCTATAGTTGAGCATAGGACTTTCTGGATTCCTATAACTGAGCTCACTGCCCTCTAGCACAGTATAAGTACAACCAGTAGCGTCACTTTAGAGAAGTAGCGTCCACAAATGTGCATACCAAGAACATGGCGACGACGCTGTTTCCTATATTGTACACTAGATGGTATTAATAATAACCGACATGTGAGGATTCGCCTTAAGGCGTACCGCTCCGCGCAGGCGCGTGTTTGAACGCGAATGCAGGTTGCGTGGAGTGGGGAACGACGACCATGCAGCGGCCATTCCGTTGTGTCGTGACCATTGAGCTCTATCCTAACTGGAGTGTGAACTGGGAGAGAGAAGGCGGTCCGAGAGAGATGCAAGATGAGTGGTTCCGGTGGTGGTATCCTATAGCAAATTTATGTGTGGACGGAGAACAAACTCCTCTTTGTTTGAATTTCGCGGCACTCTAGTAATTATTTACAGATTTGAACTTTATTTCCTTTTTATTTATATATAAAACGATAGAAACATTAATAATAATGACATAATAATGAAATAGTATAGATAATTTACATACCATAATTTAGATCATATAAATATATACAATTTGGTATAGAGCTAAATTTTATTATTTGTCACAATTCAATTTATATTGTATTTATCCAATTTTATGCGGAAAACAATCTGAAAGTAACTTACTCGACGATGCTCAGCGATTCTCGGGTAGGTTATGTTACGGCGTACGTTTGTTCCCCCTCTACAAATAAATTTGCTATAGGATAATACCAGAACCACCCATTTTGCATTTCTCTCGGACCTCCGTCGCCTCTACTTCTTCCTACAGTTATTCACACTCCACTTAGGATAGAGCTCAATGGTCGTCACGTGACGTTCTGACGAATCACTTGTACTCAGTTTTATTATTATTATAGTTTAATATTTCTTGTTAGTGCAGTCTATTTATTCCCCGAGTCACTATCCTTTATTTGATGAAGTTGGCACCAGCCAGTAGTTAATTAAGGGCCATATTCTCACAGACACCACGCGCAGCGTCACACGTTAATTCAATTTATTGCGCACCGTCACAGTAACATATTGTGGCAGCGTGGTTACGTGTGTTGTGTTGTGTTTCATTCTATTTCGTTGACGTTCCTCTGCGTAGTATCATTTATTGAATATCTTTGAGTATTTCGCTAACCTTTGAAATCAGCACTTATGTTTAGAGTTTAATACATACCGTTTGCAATTGTCTTTGTTTTTCTCTCAGTTTAAATATGCGCGCGGTGCATATTAGGAACATGGTGGAACTCGGACACCAACATCAAAGGTGCCGACACGGAGTGACGCTACTGGTTGTACCTATACTGCGCTTCTAGCCTCTTATAGCTAAGAGCTTGGTACATTTTAACGATCCGTAGATGAGCTCACTGCACTGTAGTCCCCCCCACCCGTAGCCCCCCACAACTGAGCATAGTACCTTCTAGCCCCTTACAGCCAAGCTCGAAACCACCTAGCCCTCCCCCCCTAGTCCACTCCAGCTAAAATTTTCTCTGGTTATACCGCGAACTACGCCCCACACTGCGCGTTTCAAACGAAATGCAAAGAAAATTAGTGAAAAATTCAAAGAACCTAAATTGGGAGAATAAAGATTGGTAAAATAGAAAATGCAACTCGACACAGTCGTGGTAATTATTTGCAAGAGGGAGCCGTTACGTGTACAACAAAGGGAATCCGATTAATTAAAACGAACTGCTACCGAAACGGTTACTGATAACGATTAAATGCAAACGATGATAACAATGGTAATGTAATAACTTGCAGATGTAATGGTTATTGTGCATTTAGAGAAACGGACACGAATGACGTAATAATAAACACGTTACAGAGAAATTAGATGTTTTAATCTTCCGTCTGGATTCGTCGCGAGAGTTCTCTAGAGATTTTCATTCTTCGTCGTGTGCACGTGTAGAATATTATACCATGAACCTTTAAAATTTTACGAAATTATACTCTAATATGTATACCACGTGTTTGCTTTTCTCGAGGCGTGCCCGAGTCTATATTTCGTCTAAAAGAAGTGTTTTCTATAAATAGCACGTAAAGCAATTCTGAGATACAATAATGAATATTCATAATCGGAGGAACAATTTTGTATAAATACATCGAAACAGACTGTAACTGTGATCATCTAATTTGAAGGAGAAGAAAAAAAGAGATAAGAAGAAGCTATTTAATTTCTTATGGTCGCATGAAATAGCTGAAGTATATCGAATAGGATTGATGCAATAGACGCCTCTCTGTCTCTCTTACTCTCTACCTATCCACTGTCCTTCGTTTATCGTGGTCGGTGTAAAATAATAAAAGAAACTGTTGAATGTATGGAAAGGGAGCCGAAGCTTTCTCGGTTACCGAACGTTACAATCAGAGGTTCGAAAGGTGCAAGAGGAATAGGATCTCGATCGAGTTCCATATCGTTTCTAGTCGATGAACAGTCAGCCTGGACGGATTGCTTCTGAAACAGGAAACATACATTCCATACTACGAACCTAAAGCTTTGGTTCGAGACGAGCAGAAATTACGCAATCTAATGTTTTCGGTGGGACTCAATTTTCCAACGTTATCGAGTTTACGAATTGTAAATAGTTTTATTTCATTGAATATATCACTATTGGAATTAATTTTTGTAGTTCCCTAAAGAATTAAAAAAAATTAATTCTGAAAGTTTCCAACTCTGAAATGGCCAATGAAAATGAATTTGATTGAAATACTTGAATTTCAATACCACAATAAACAAAATTTTACAAAAATAAATACCACAATAAAAGTTCGATTGTGTAGTTTCCAATAGTCTATAAACAAAATTTAATCACAGCAGAAATTTTCGACTTCTTTTTTGTAACCGATACGTTCTGTTGGTTGATAAACAAAGCAAACCATATATACGAAGCGGTTAACCAAAAATGGCGAACCTCCGTGGCTGACTATTCGCAATATTTTACCTCGTGATACATTAATAAACGCGATGCAAGAACCGAGAGATAAGAGGAACGAGTTGGTCGCGCCGGCTAACACGTCGCAACTACGATGTCGTCGCATATATATTTTAGTATGGACACTAATGTAAAGGTTAATATGTATATTTGTAATATCGTGCGGATATACAGGGTGTCCCAAAAATGTTGGAGGTCATTGAAAGGGGTGGTTCGGGAGGTGATTTGAAACAAGTTTTTCCTTAGCGAAAATGTTGTCCGAGGCTTCGTTGAGGAGATATTAATAGAAAAGCCCGACCAATCAGAGCGCGAGTATGCCGGTGGAGCGCCCGCGATAGCGAAGGCTACACGCTAGGCGACCGACCAATCAGAGGGCGCGTGTACCGTTGGAGCGACTAGGCGTTCGCGCTTGTAGGCTACCGCGGTCACTCCACCGGCATACTCGCACTCTGATTGGTCGTCGGTTTCCTTTAATATCTACTCAACGAACCCTCGGACAACATTGTCTCTAAGGAAAAAGTTGTTTCAAATCACCTCTCGAACCACCCTTTTCAAGGACCTCCAACATTTTTGGGATACTCTGTATATACAGGGTGTTCAAGAATTAGTGCAAGAACCGGAAATGGAAGATAGCTAAGACGATTCTGAACCACAATTTCCTTTGCAAAAATGTCATATGGTGCTCCGTTTCTTAATTATTAATGCTCTCGCGGCTGAGCGCGCGCCACTCGGGCCCCGTGATTGGTCGACCGTTCTTCCTTAATAATTCAAAAACGAACCATCATCCGACATTTTTCCAAAACAAATTGTGATTCAGAATTGTCTCCGCTATCCCCCATTTCCCGATTTTTACACTATTTCTGGGACACCCTCTATACGAGCGTCGATTTATTTTCCAGTTCGAGTCAGTTCAATCGATATACACTTATCCTGGCAAATTTTCGAAACAGTGAAAGATACAGTAGCGATTAGGGGTGTTAACGAATCGATGGAATTTTTTATCTGATCGTTAGATAAATGGTACCTTGATAAATAGCTGACTTCTCGTTTAGTTTTCAGACAGTCTGCTGATCGAAAGTTCGAGACCACCCTGTAGGTCAAACTTTATTTTTCATTAACACTTTCGCTGCGGACGAAAATAAGTAGCCGTTCGCTGGGAGCTGCAATTATGATATTTTTTTTAATGAAGAATTTCTTAGAAATGCCGTAATATGATTATTTTCAAAAATATATGTTTGTAGTAACTTATTTTATATATAATATGATTGCCGAACAAAGAAAATGAAAACTGAAA